AGAGAGAGAGAGAGAGAGAGAGAGAGAGAGAGAGAGAGAGAGAGAGAGAGAGAGAGTCCTGCGCCAGCAGTTCGCGGCGACACGGGTTTCGTGGACGTATAATCTGCTTTTCGTTGAGAATATTATTGTCGGCAATGTACGGTTCGATAAAACGAAAAAAAGAATCGGAATATCGGTGAAGCGCGATAATAGCCGGCATCGGTTTTCGTTCAATGTTTAAGAATAGAACGTGAAATTCGTTATCGCGAAGATTAGAAAGTGCGGAAAACAACGCGTACGCGCGTCGATTCGGGATCGTTATGAAATGGCGCTGTTAATTGTAGAATTATACAATACGATTTGAAAAAAAAGGAAACGAAAATCTTTTGGTTACGGATCTCGAAATACCAGTTCAGAGCTTCTCGAATTCAAATTATGTTAATCAGGGCCACACCGCCCCGTAAATTACGCGGGCGACATAGTGGGTGAACGTAATGCATGAAATAAAGCGGACCCTAATATCGCTAAAGGTACGTGCATTAACGGCGTGCCGGTCTACCTAATAATCCTTTTTCCCACGTCTGAATTAATGGGCAGCACGTAGAGCCATCAGAGCCGCGGTTTACCGTAGCCCAGAAATTTCTGACGATAATATGTAATACATATATATTAGCATGATAATGCTTCAATTCCGTTCAATTAACTCTCGCGTATATATAATACATTGATCGAGAATTCCAGTTCAGAGATGGGCCGAGACGAGAGAGAGAGAGAGAAAGAGAGAGAAAAATTATACGCACGGACACTCGGCAATAAACGTAGTGCGGAGTTAAACGGCTTATCAAACTTCGTTTTGCGTATCTGTCGACGCATGCACGGACATTAAACGCACGGATAAGTATTCTATAAATGTAGCCGCCTATTTAGTGCACAGACCGCGTCGCGTCCTGACAAATACTTAATAACACTTTCCTCGTCGACTATCATCACGAAATACCTCTCCTCGACACTGTGACCGCACGATGTCCAGTTTCCAGCACGACGAATATTTCGCGCTGGCCCACCACGTCGATAACGGGAATATGCATTTAAACGAGAGATTTCGAATAATAAAAGTAAAAGAAAATATCGCGGTATCAGATTTAAAAAAAAAAAAACTCTCGGTAAATATAGAAAGTACAAAATTGTCGAATGTACGTGCGTAAAATGATTAAATCCGCATATTAAAATACCTCCTCTCCACGGGCCTGTTATAAAGTTACTCATCCGTTCCGTAACGTAAGGATAAAATTCTAATTACCGGCGTCGTCTCGGAACAGATACCACGCCTTAAATTTCAAAGATGCAGCGGAGCTCTGTAACGGTCTGTTTGCTCGGGTCGAAACCCCGACGCGTATTTTCTATTTATTTTCCTCGCGGCAATTCACCTTCGTCGAAACGGGTAACGGATAATCGAACCAGATCGAGTTACATCGACCAACATACGTGTTCGAAATTGTATCGCGGTTCGACCGATGCGGTCGATTATCGGCAAGAGAGCCCCGAGGCAAACAATTCCATACGCAGAAAATATCTAGAAAGCATGCACCATCCACCCGTCGAAAATTCGAAACGCGCACTATACGCATATATCGTGTATCTAACATCCTCTAAATCCCGGCACAGATTAAGGGACGCTATCGGAAACGTAGCTCGGGTCCGTTAACATTGCGTCAATCTTAATTAACTTCCTCCTCGTCGGATTCCGGAGGCAACGCGACACGACTCTTTAATTATAATTTCCATGCGTCGCCGGCGTTACCGAACGAAGAAAATGATCGATAATACGGTTGTCATCCGTTTGACGTCGGTCGCGTACACGATCGATTTAAAAAGCTTGGAAAAGAAATCTCTCTTTCTCTCTCGCGCGCGCGCGCTTCGGAGCTGCATCATCGATGGAAACAACGAAAATTTCGAGTACTTACCATGCCTTGACTCGGATCAGGACCTCTCCCTCAGCGGGGGTGGGCATCGGCTTCCTGAGAGCCTTGACACTTTTCAATCCGCCGAAACCGTTCAGTACTATAGCCCGCATGTCCTTCGGCTCTGGCGTGGGTTTCTCCTCGCCGTTCTCCTTCGGTTTCTCACCGTCGCCATTCTCCTCTACTTTCTTCGGCTCCTCTTTGCAATCTTTCGGCTCCTCCTTCTCTTGCTTCTCAGCCGGCGGCGCTTCCTGTGGTGGCTTTTCACCCTCGGCGCTCGGGCTGGTCTCGTTCTTGTCCTCTGCCATTTTTCTTCTCGGTCTCTCTTTCGCTCCCGCCGCTTTGTTAGTTTCGAACGCCCTCGCTTTCGCTTTCTCTATCTCTTTCTACCTCTCTCTTTCTCTTTAGCTGTCTCGAGGACTACTTATGGTACTTTAGCGAAACGAACGCTCGGATAAAAGTCTCTACTGGCTTGCGACGACTCAAACGAGACGAAGAGAGAATGTGATATAAAAGAAATTGCCTCGACGACTATATGTCTACTCTACCAGCGTCTCGAAAACCGTAGCGCGTTCGCACCCGACGAGAGCCAACGTCGTTCTGCGCCACAGTGCCAGGAACGCTTCCGAGCCGGCTACGCCGGCCGGTGACGCGCGCGGTGTTGCCGTTGCTTAGCAACCGCGCGCCCCTTTCGCCGGGCCAATCGGGAGCGCCGATTTCTCTCCCACCGTTCGCTACCGCGCTAAGCTACATCGCGCAGAGTACGACAGGTGCCGCGAGTCGCGGAACATTGCTCTTCGCGATTAAAAAGTAGTCCCCCCTCTCTCTCTTTCCCTCGTCTGTCCCACCCATTAAATCTGTATTAACCCACGCATCTTCGACTACGATTTTCAACGATCGATCGACCGGACCGGCTGCATATTCGTCATGTGCATCTTTCCGACGTCGCCCGTTACCGGACGCGCTTCGTCCGACCGAGAAGAACGACGACGATGACGACGACGGCGGCGGTCCATTCGCGGCACCGAGGAGATCTGCCAACAGACGACGGGAAATAACTTTAATTGCAATTAAATACATCTCTTGTCTTATGCTCTTCATGCTCTCTGTAGTAATCGTTGAATTTTTAGTGATCACCCTTATGAGAGGAATACCAATGACGCCAGATTAGAGTAGTAGAATCGTCGATGTTAAATGTGTGCTTGAAATTGATGGGACGAATAACGAAACACGATGTTCTGTAACGGAACAACGTTGCTGGTAGTAAAACATTTCAACCGTGGTAATCTAACGAGCGCGTTTTAAATTATATTAACTTGAAAATATGTATATACGTAACCGCGTTTATTTCTCATGCAACAGTTTCAGTCGATAGAGGAACGAGTTACATTCCGCGCGGGGACCTGTTATTTATCGTAAAATATGGAGTTATGCAAATAAGAAGTCGCGCGATACGAAGAATTAGCAATAATACTCCTCGGGTTCGGATTAGCCACCGTGCTGCGAAGCATATGGAGGACGATCTAATTGAAATGTTTGGAAAATGTGCGTGAAAATGAATTCGACGCGGTGGAGCGTGGAATCCGAAGGACACGCCTTTGTATTATGAATCACTAGTGCGGGTGTATCGAAAATGAAGATCGGCTTCTTTGCCGCAGATAGCTAATTGCGTCGTTAAAGAACAATGGAGAATGAAGCGATGCACATAACCGAGGCATTAACGATATTTGAAAACAAGACTTGAATTGTGGTGGAATATTATCGATTGGATTTAAGTGACAAGGCTTTTCGTTTGCGGAATCAAAATCATTGAAGTAACGAGGGCAGATTTTACGGCGAAATAAAAATGTTGTTGGCATTGTTGAGACAGGTATCTTGTAAGTTTTCCGTTGTACAATATGGTATCTCCAGATGTGAATATTGAATTTTTGATGACCGCCTAATTTGTACAGAGAACGGGGATATGTCCCTAAACAAACATTGCGATCCTGGTTCCGAAATTGTCAGTTTTGATTAGGATCCTCTCCTCTTGCAGACAGACAGGAAAGTAGTGCCAGCAGACGACGCCCGAACTGCACGTGTATCCTTACGCCGTGCATGGTATGCGTCATATTGTACTATACACACAGGCACAGTCTACATCCTGTCTTTCCTTGAACACGCCTTTCAAAATGTAAACGCGCACTGCCCTCGTGCAGTTCCTATAGATTTTGTCTACGAAACGAAAATAGTGCAACAGTCACATTCTTCCACAGAAGAAGAAGAGGAGGAAGAAGAAGAAGAAGTAGTACACGTTTTCGTTTCTCTTACATAGTTATAACCGAGCAATCTTTCCCATATGCTTCGTTGCCCCACCGTTACTTAGGTATCCACTGATAATCGACACGATAATATACAATGTTGTAACTTTTACGCTTCTAGTATACAATGTATATCTCTGACACGAGACAAAATTATCGATTTCTGCTTATCAGGCGAATTCGCTGTTCCCCACTTGTCCTTCTTCATCTAAAATATATAGCAACGAGTATTTAATTTTTTTTTACAAGTGGAGTTTAAAGGGTGAATTTTTGGAACTTTGAATTTTACTCGAGCATGATTTTCGAATCTACTACGGCCAAGTGCATGTCAACGAGAGTGGAAGTGCAATTCGCAGGCTATCGTGCAACTTTGAATTCCCGAAACAATTGGACCGAGTAATGAGAATCATGCATGAGTGCAATGAGGATGTGCTGATTGGGATGAATAGCTCATATTGTCGGGAGAGCCAAAAGCACCCAGAGCCCTGTATACAGAGACTCTGTGGTCATTATAAAATACCCTGTCTGGTACTCTTTTCTTCATTGTACTACACTTACATTTTGTTTGTCGCATCTCACAAAGACACTGACAACGAACGTTGCATTCGTTCAACTTTATCTCATAACGTACGGGCATACTGCATAATCTTACGAATATTCGAAATTTTCGTCGGAATGTTTCAAGTGAATCGTTCATCGAGAGATCACATTCTAACGAATAATATTAATGATCTATTTATTATTTACAAAAAATACTTAGCATATATTTCACGTTTATGCTCTCACCGTCGGTACAATGCAACGGCCTTTAACCCGTAACATTTTCTGATAATAGCAAATGACAGATTTTATTACAACGAACATATGGGAAATGTTTATAATATTTCATACACGTTTTTACATTCAAACGCCCAAAAATTCAATGAAACATTATTCAATATATACATAAGGAAATAACAAATTATTACTATTTTTATTGATTAGTCGAACTATGACGAATGGAATTTAAAATTTCATTACTAGACATTCAAATTTTTCAAGTTCAATCTATTCTTTCAATCCATTTAAATGTTAAATTTTAAATGAATGTACATACTGTGCACTCTATCGAAAGTGATATAACCTAAATAATATAAAGAAAAAAATACTAGGTTATATTGATTTTCATCATATCATTGTTAGGTCCATTTAAATGACGCATTGTAAAAGAATCAGTTTAACATCGAAAAATGTAATACGCACATGTTGAAAAACATAGGAATCACAATACTATTAAATATACATATAACCGTAGTTCTCAACAAAGTTGAACTTGCAAGTTCTCCAGTTCATACATCAGCTGACTCTCCCACCATCGCTACCATTTTTCATCAGATAGCGTACTCGAATCGACACTTCGGCTAGATAATAGAATCAGCTACGTCGACGCTCTGTTTTTCCGCATTGTCAACAAAGAGGCCATCGTGAAGGAACAACGACCGCATCTCCGAAGCTTATGACAAATTGTAAAGGAAGAACGGCAGTATTGTTGAATGTAATGGCAGATCATGAAGTTGTCACATCAAGAAGGTAAGTGTTAAACGAACCTTTCTATTCCGATAACTGTCATTTGCACACGTACGATTTCTACTCGATTTTTCCAACCTTCTCGGGAACATTGACGATCTGCTGCTCGATTTCATCACATTGAGTTATAAGAAACTTGGCTTTTAAACAGTTACTTGGCTATGTCACCGTGGAATCTAATTATACACTTTGTGCGAAGTGCATGTAAAATTGTTGTGTCATGCAAACATTTGCATATATACGCGTATAACGCAAGAAAATAATCTGTAAAGCGGAAGAATTATCTATATCACGTTGGACCATGATTCAAGGTCGCGCGCTCAAACAATTTTAGTTCGAAGATACTTAACCAAAGAAAACTGAAGTTGAGTCGGTTTAGTGTTGATATTGCATAGGCAATTTACGTTTGAGCCTCTCGGCTAATGTTTTGCAAACTCATCATTCCAATCGTTCCTTCTTTATCATACTTATCAAAATCGTTGTGTAATCTAGAGTAGTTTCTGTGGTTTTCTCTATGACTTTTTTTCTAACACATTCGAAATACATAACATTGCATTGCTATCAAATTATCTAATTCACTATGCAACAGATTAATGGTATGTATCGCATAAATTAGAAAACCTGTTTGTAATTAAATGCGGAGAGACTAATCCAGTTGATTATCATTGAATGTAACGTGTGTAAATTAACCAAGTGAATCCATTAGTGTCTACAAAAACTGGAAACAAAACGTACGATGTTATAATAGGTCTAGGAGAATCTTTACAATGTAAATAATAATAATAATATTTATGTATTACTTCTTGTAGCTGGTTTTGGGGATGGTTTAGGTGGTCTGTTTCATCATCAACTATGTTACGTGCAGCAGAGAAGAAGATCCTTTCCTGTAAGTTCAATGTTAATACTTTCCAAATTTTATATTGTAACTTCTAATTGGTGTTATAATATATTTTATAATTAAAATTTAATACTATCACTCCTTAACATAGGTTTGAAAACCGTGTATCGTGGTTGGTATGTGGACATAGGACCTGTTGTTGGAACAGCGGATAAAATATGGACTATTTCTCTAAATGAAGAATCACCAAAGACACCAATCGTTTTGCTACATGGTCTAGGAGCAGGTGTAGCACTCTGGTGTTTAAATCTAGATACATTAGCCTCACAAAGACCTGTATATGCAATTGATATATTAGGTAAATATCAAAATATTAAATATATAAACTGATATTTTGTTAGTTATATGTCCAAAGCTATTCTTTGTTTTTAAAAACAATTATCAGACATGACTCACAGATGAGTAAGATTGAACTTTGGAATTACATACATCTGTGAATAACATGATCTTCCTGTTATCATCAGAATAAAGTGAACAGAGACTATAATCTCATCTAGCGCTTTTAGCCTCAGGATAAAGAATTATTTTCCATGAAAATGTTCAACTTTAGATTCGATAAGAATTGTTTGAATATTCTTAAATTATTTTATAATTAATTCTTGAACGTTTTCGTTCATTTTTATTACCGATTCTTCGCAATCCAGGTTTCGGTAGAAGTAGCCGTCCTGTTTTTAGTAATGAAGCCCAGGAAGCCGAAAATCAACTAGTCCGATCTATTGAAGAATGGAGAAGGGAAATGCAATTAGAAAAGTTCATGGTACTAGGTCATTCGATGGGTGGCTTTCTAGCAGCATCATATTGTATTCAGCATCCTGAAAGAATTAAACACCTTATTCTCGCTGATCCTTGGGGTTTCCCTGAAAGGCCTGTAGAAAGATCGTTGAGACCAGCTATACCATTTTGGGTGCAAGCTATAGCTTATGTGATTCAACCATTGAATCCATTATGGGCAGTCAGAGTGGCTGGTCCATTTGGTTTGTAACTTTTGTAATGTCCTTTTCTATGCAAAGTTCTCAGTTTTCATAAATTGTAACGGAAATATTGTTCTTTTCTAGGACAGTGGCTGGTTGAGAAAGCTAGACCAGATATTGCAAAAAAGTTCGTGCCTATTTTAAACGATGATACAGCGGTAATTTCACAGTATATACATCAATGTAATGCACAAACCCCAACGTTAGTATTTTAAAATTGAACCTCTCTGAAATTTCGATACTGGACATATACTACCTAAAATAATGTTTAAATCGTTTATTTAATTTATAGAGGTGAGAGTGCCTTCCATGCGATGATGCAAGGTTTTGGCTGGGCCAAAAATCCTATCATCAGAAGAATAGGTAAATTGAATCCAGAAATTCCAATAACTTTGTTATATGGCAGTCGATCATGGGTGGACAGTTCTTATTGGGAGACACTTAAGCAGGCTAGATCATCGTCTTATATTAATGTTCAGGTAAAACAGTAAACGTGAAAATATAACATAACTCATGAGCTTAAATTTATATCAATCACTATGGTCCTTTTTACAGGCGATAACAGGAGCAGGTCACCATGTTTATGCAGATAAAAGTGACATTTTTAATAAATATGTATTAGAAGTATGTAATTTAAGTGACTCGACACCGAATTTATCAGCGTCGGATGTTCGTTTGAATATTAAGCCTCTAAGTGAGCAACAAATTTCATTGATGCTTACAAACCAGGAGATTGAATCAAAAGACATAGACGAACAAGGACTTAATACGACACAATCAAGATCTAGTTGAAATTTAGTGCAGAAATTGTATTATTGAATTACAATATATATATAATATGTGTATATATATATATACACATTTTTTTTAACTTTATCGTGCAGTTGAATGAACTGCATATGTCGTGTGATATAGACTAGGTACACGTACTACAATATACCAAGCTTACGAACTCACATTATTATGTAATTTAATTTTTAATTCATGTAATGCCATATTAGTAATGTAATCTGTGACTCCTTGAACAATCTTGAAAAAAAATCTGTTCATATTTTCTTCCTTGATTTTATATATACTTTCTCAAATATTAATTCT